AAAAAAAATATTATAAGCTATACACATTTTAGCTTCTCACATCGGTGGACTAATTTAGAAATACACCGAAGCCTTTTGATGTACTCAGTCTAAGAGCAGCAAATCATCCGGATGGGTCTCAAACAGAGGTTTTGTTCAAACTGTTCTGTTCTTTATATAGACTATCCAGCCAACATGGACGGCAGCAGAAATACCGATGGGACAAAAAGAACAAAATCCAAAAATGAAGGAACAAATACATGTGCATGTATGTAACACATACAGAATACATTCTTCCGGTAAAGTAAGACCCCATGAACCAGAAGTCTTGCGTAGCTTAAAAAACACAATTTATCTTATTATAATGAGGACCGTTGAGATTCAGGAAATGTTTTGTCGTGGCAGTACAATGAGTGAAGCGAACCTTGGCACTTAAGGTCTTGAAACAGATAGGCCTAGTCAAGACAATTATGCCAGCAAGAAGTCAGTCAGTAAAGCAAAAAGAACTAGCAGGGATATTATTAAAATACAGAACCAGCACCTGTACTTTAGTGAAAATTATGAACACTCATAGTGTTGAAGCACCTCTCCCGGTGTTATGATCATGCAGACTCTACACAAACGCATCGGTCCACTGTATCTGTGCTAAATGAGTTCCTCTAACAGCAGGATATTGCAGGAAGCCGCTTTCAAAAACCCTTCTGCGCGTCACAGGAACACAGTTCATTATCTGCTGGTGTTGAAGCAGACCTCATCAATTTTTCAGCTGCTAGACGGAGGTTAAAGGACAAACTGAGGCGTGTGGAAGCAGCACACGGGCAGATCATCACCTTAACCTCTCGCGGTGTCTAAATGAGCTGTGTTTTGGTTTAATGTGCGGATCACACACAAGTTCAGAGACATTCTACACAAAGACAAGAGTTTACAGCAAAGTCCTTGCATCACAATGAAAAAACACTAGAAAATCTGTTTGAACATAAATCAAGAGGAAACTAAAGAATGACTAAGCACTAATATAGTGCATAACACATCAGTCTTTTCTCGCTCTCTGTTAAAAAGTCACTTTCAGATCAGCTTAAAGGTATAGTTCACGCAAAAATGAAAATTCAGTTATTTAATTAGCCTCAAGATGTTGCAAACCTGTATGACTTTATTTCATCTGTGGAACATAAAAATGTACTAGCTGTTTTTGTCAATGCAATTATGAACAGCGACTGGAGCTTTCAAACATCTAAAAGAATGTAAAAGCATAACAAACGTATAATTATTATGGAATAATACAAGTACAATTTATACATACAACTTGTGCATTATATTTCAAGTCTTCTTAATTATACAATAACTTTGTGAGACAATCAAACTGCAATTTAAGTCATTTTTCACTGAAATTCTTGACATGAACAAAGTTATTTTGAGTCACCTATATCTGATTCAGTTCACAAAACTGATCAGAATGATTTATTCACAAATTTGACTCATTCGTTCATTTCACTGACTCAATAAGCTGGTTGTCCGGTCGTGATCCAGTCATACAGGTTTGAGGGTGAGTAAATGATGAAACACTTTTCATTTTTGGGTGAACTGGCTTTTTATGCGACTGATACAATAGATTCAGCACAACTTTAATTTGTTTTTGTTTTCTATTTTTTTTCTGATGTAAGAAAAATCACGGCAAGAAAATGTCGAAGTCCTCCATCTGGTCCATGGAATGTCAGCTGTGTCTTGTACCCTCTTTAAATGTCACAATTTTCACGACTACGACCACTGATCCACAACCGTTTACCTTGCTGTCTTGCACACAACGTTTTGTGTACGCTTCAGACTTCAAGATCGAAATGTTCTTCGATGTCTGTGTCTTTTTTTTCTTTTTCCCAAAATCCAAAGGGTGCCTTGGAGAAATGAACATATTAAAATGTTGCACGTAGTCCAGCTTGTGCTTTGAATGTACAGTCACAGAGAGCTTGATCACATGTCCACATCCCCGTCATAGGCCAGAGCCAGGGGCTTCTGTGGTGGAGATGCACTTTTACTCTGTTTGGATGGTTTGCTGGCATAAAGACGAGGGGAAAAAGAGAGATAAGTGAAATGTAAGATATATACTCCTGCCCTCTATTTTATTTCTACACTATACCACTAGATGGCAGCAACATGTTATTATAAGTCAGACTAAAGGCTATAACAAATAGTCAATAGGTGAAGTGCAATTTCTCTCATCAACCAAAATCACACACACAAAAAAATTTACTGTTTTCAAACACGTACTGTCTTTCCGTTCAATGGTGAGTGTGTTAAAATTTGATAGCATACATACCAAAACAGAAAGGCCACAGTAATTATGAATAATATGAGAATGAATCCTCCAGCTGTTAACCCATAGACCCACAGCTTTATTCTTCCATCTGTGTAATCAGAAAACAGGAGTGTGTTCACCATTGAAATATATAGGAGTATCATTTTTATTGCTTGTGGTTTCCACACAGGGGCCTGTTGCAGCAGTAACAGATGGCACATTCACGCTGGTGACAATGTACCCGAAGAAACTGTTTCAATTCTATTCTGAGTTCAGAGCAAAGAATGAGGTGTGTGTCATAGAGCCATTAAGATGCTTGTATAACTGATATGACAAGGTCTCAGAACACATTTCTCAGATAAAAGACAAAAGACAGCAGTCTGATGAGCTGCACAGAGAGCTTCTCCTCTAGCAACAGACCTGGATCCTTTGAGACTCACAGAATGGATGATGCAAAAACTACTCTTAGCAAGAGAAGATCCTGCTAAGTTTTGTAACACTTTAGAACAACTTTAATTCAGAGAAGAACCCCACTAGTGGATAGAAAAAATGGAGTAAAGACATTCTATTATGTATTTTATAAAACTGAGCTCTGACCTATAAAACTCTGGCCTATAATTTTGTAATGATCCTTACATTGCAAAACCATTATGGTGTTATATACTTCTATATTCTATTTTACAACTACTTATTGCAATGTTTATTTTAGCTTTACTGAAGTTAACTTAAAGGGGTCATATGATGCGATTTCAATTTTTCCTTTCTCTTTGGAGTGTTACAAGCTCTTGGTGCATAAAGAAGATCTGTACTTTAATCTGTTTCTTACCATTTTCTTTATTACAAGAAACAGATAAAGCAATTTTCCCACTTCTCTCCTCAGTCAGTTTGATCATGTCAAACTTTGTTAAACAGATCTGCTCCTGGTGAATAGAAATTCATGATTAGAATGAGAGAACCCACAAAGATTCATGGGAAATCTTCTGCAGAATTATTAAGGCTTAATGGAAAAATTAAGCCTGACAGAATCACACCACCCAGACACGTGTCCCCTAGGTGGCACTGACAAGCCTGGTTAAATTCATCTCATCCTTGAGCATAAATGACAGGCTTTACTAATAAAAACTGATTAAACAAAAGATTTAAACGATTCAACATCCTGAAGTGGAAGGATCTGATGGGCTGCACATTAGAGACATTCAGAGCTGTGTGACGATGGTCAGACAACAGAACATTTAACACAATTCACTTTACTTCAGATACTTTTTCTCACGGTATTCACACAATAACAGGACTGTTTTGTTATGTGTTTTGTTCTGTTTGTTTCTGTCTCTGTTTTCCATCTTTTGTCTTAGTTTCCATCTCGCTCCATCTGTTGGTTTATGATGGGTATTAAAAATGAAATGTGGACTGAGTTCAGCATCTATAAAAGAACATGAGTATTGTTTTATAAGGACCGTCTTATTAAAGGAGTAGTTCACCAAAATATTAAAATCTGCTGAAAATGTACTCTTCTTCAGGCCATCCAAAGTTGTAGATGAGTTTGACTTTGTTCATCTGAACAGATCTGGAGAAATTTAGCATTACGTCATTTGCTCACCAATGAATCATCTGCAGTGAATGGGTGCCGTCAGAATGAGTGTCACATGAGTCATGATAATCCAAAAGGAACTCCTGAACTCCTGTCCATCAATTAACATCTTGTGAAGTGAACAGTGTGTTTGTAATAAATACATCACGTCATTTTTTAAACTTCATAATGTTGCTTCCGACTAAAATCCATGGACTCTCATTCTGATGGCACCCATTCACTGCAGAGGATCCATTGGTGAGCAAGTGATGCAATGCTAAATTTCTCCAAATCTGTTCCAGTGAAGAAACAAACTCATCTACATCTCGGATGGCCTGAGGGTGAGTAAATTTTCAGCTAATTTTCAATTTTGGGTGCACTATTCCTTTGAATGGCCTCTTAATTAATTATGTATGATTTAAAAGACAAATGTGTTGACAGCTATGAACTTAAAAGTAGTGTATGGTACAAAGGCACAATGTGGAAAATAATATGCTTTGTGAACCTTAAACCGCATAAACACATTTCATTACACCAAATACACAAAATAATGTTCTTTTTAGCAACATCATATGGCCCCTTTAATATAGTATTTTTGTTTAATGTATATTAATACATTTTTGCACAAACTCAGTTTGAGATCAAATAATATTTGGTGGGTCACTTGAGGTACTGCTGCATCTGAATGCACCTGGTTTAATAAGCTATTAACAAACATTACAACACAGGTCTGAATTTCAATGTGTTTATAATATAATCCCAAATATAATTAATAAAATACTGTTAAAAAGTTTGGGGTCTAAAACATTTTTGAATGTTTTTGAAATAAGTCTCTTGCTCACCAAGGCTGCATTTATTTGATCAAAAATACTGTACAAAACAGTAATATTGAGAAATATTATTACAATTTAAAATAACTTTTTTTAATTTAAATATATATTTTATAATGTAATTTATTCATGTGATGGCAAAGCTGAATTTTCAGCAGTCATTACTCCAATCTTCAGTGTTACATGATCCTTCAGAAATCATTCTGATATGCTGAACAGTTGTGCTGCTTAATATTTTTGTGGAAACTGTGAGTGCAGTTTTTTGGTTTCTATGATAAAAAGAAAACAAAAAAATATTTTCTAACATTATAAATGTCTTTACTGGCAATCTAATGTGTCCTTTAGGGGTGTGCGATATTTATCATCAACGATAATATAGTAATTGTGGTTTTAACGATGTGCGATTTGACACGATCTAGTATATTGCAAAAACCAAACCAAACACACCTACAGAGTGCACGCGTACGTGATGAAGTCTAGTAGGTTAGACTAGTGTGCGTGCACATTTAGAGTGCGTTCTTTCACTGCATGATTCAGTCTAATAAAATGCATTTAGGATGATCACAAAATTCAAGATATGGTGGCAGAAAATGTATACATTTATATCATTTCATAAAGTTAACCAATATCACATGAAACGTGCCGTTTTTTCTCTACAAAAATCAGCATGATTAGAAATGGGATATTGATTTTATACAACGGTTCAAAAAACAAGAAGTTAATATTAAGAGACCACATTGCCTGTTTTTGCTCTATTTCGCCAACAAAAATAATTCCAAACAAAGCCAAAGCACTGTTTTCGGTGTTTCGTACCTGAATGAATCACCCGTTTAAATGATTCAGTTAAATTGCAATGACTCACTTATTAACAGTGACTTGCTGCCACCTATTGGCCTATATTTTAATTTCACTTTTATAGTATCTTTTCATTTTTTAAATAATCTCAAATATCAGTATTCAACGATTTATGTTTAAACTATTATTTATGCATTTGTAACTGCAGGTTAATTGCATTCATGTCCCTCTGAGCTGCGTTAAATTGTGTAATAACATCTAAATGCCGCTTCAGATGCAGCTTCTGTGTTTCCTCTGCATTGCAAAGATGAATTTCATTGATACTGATTTAATTTGCTTGGTAACAGCCAAAATGTCTTAATATTCTGATTGACTGATTAAATGTAAGAATTCGACTCAAAAGATGATGCACACCTTTAGAAAAATATGGCTTTATAAAGGTAAAAAAGGGCCATAAAAAGGTAAAAATCAATTTGAACTTATTGGAAAAGATTAATCTCTGTCACTGCTGTGAACTGACCACCACACAGAATATGAAGTATATCAAAAACTGTCAGCTGTCCACAGTAGTCCTTAAGGTACCAGCACAATAACACTCAGCAAATTATCATCTAATTATCGTTATCAATAAAATCCCAGAAAATATCGAGATATAATTTTTTGTCAATAACGCACTGTCCTTGCTAAATAACAGTATTCATTCAAAAAAATATCTTACTGACCCCAAACTTCTGAACGGTAATCCAAAATCTAATAATAAAAAAAATTTAATGGCATAATATAATATAATATAATATAATATAATCCAGACAGACGTGTCCTTGTACAGTAGAGTAGTCATAGTTTGTTTTGCAAATAACAGAACTGGTAATTCTCAGAATTTTGTCCCTCCATCTGGAGGCTGATACCCACACCTACTGGTAACCTGACGGCACACAGTTGTTGTACCACAGGCCGCAAAATTCACTTCTAATCAGAAATGGCCTCCAGCCAGCAATAAAGCAACTCTGTCTGTCAAGTTATGGGCAATACAAATCACGCTGTTATGAGACTCTGTCCACTGCAGCTTTTCTCATAGCTCCAATAGGGCATAAACACTGAGGCATTAAACAGAGTTCTACATCAGCCTGTATCTGGAGTCTCATAAAGGCGTCCAGCGATTCTGCTATAACTCAAAGCCACACTCCGCTGGCCCACATCAGCCTGGTCTTCATCTGCATTTCAAATACCTGGGCCGAGTGGCTGCAGGGACCACTCGCCGAAGAAGTCCTGGATCTGAGTGGTGCCTGGTTTTAATCTTCCCGAGCTGGTCTTCACATCTGCCTTCTTGTTGTCAGCTCCTGGGGTCTTGGTGCAATAATCCAGGAATCCATGTGTGGTCATCACTTCAGTGTAGCCCTTCTCACAGCCACACACGCCACTCTGAAGGAGACACGGATCGCTGTGAGGGCCACACTCAGACAGAGCATAAAGACACTGCTGTGTTTAAAGAAATACTTTACATTTAATGCAACTTGAGATCAAACAACATAGTACTTGTGGCATAACCCTGATTAGCACAAAAACTAATTTCAGTTTGTCCCTCCTTTTCATAAGCAAGCTAACAATCTGGGTTACATCGAGGCACTGTATACAGGGCCAGGTCTGTAAATGTTAAAATTCTGTTTCAATAGTATACAGCCACAAGTCAAACAATATGGGTTATGATTTTAGTGTGAAAAAACCCTTATTCATCTTTTTTTCCCCTGTATTATATCCAATTTTACAAATTTGTTGCCATGACAATGTAATAATGAAAACACTAAAATGACTGAAAAAATGACGAGAACAACTTTACAGCTCAAATAATACACATATGTTTAACATAAATGCTTCTGTAAAATAAAAAGTAACATTTCTGCTTTGAAAATTGGCCCCCATTCATTCCATTGCAAGTGTCTCACTTTAACCTCCACAAGGGATGTTGAAATAATTTTTGTGGTATTGAACATTATGTCACAAATGCTGTTGATTAAACTTATATACCTGGAATATTCCTTTAAGACAAAATCTAAATTTTTTTCAGTACTCATGTGCAGGGGGAAAAAATTGGTTGCATGGAGTGCAGTGCATGTAGATTTCACAAATAGCAAGCTATTAAATACAAACTACAGAACAAGATGACATTTTTTTTCTTATTTTGTGTTGTTATTTACACAGTGGTTTAATGTGAAAATAGATATGGTTCAGTGTGTTTACCTGCTTGCAGTGGGAGAAGGGTTTGGTGCAGGGAGGGTGACAGTGCCGCACAGTGGTTGGCCGGTTCTGTGGAAAGCAGCCCCCTTCCAACAGGAAACAACAGAGATAATTATTGCCATTTCCCTATTGATGGCCAGATAAAAGTGCTGTCACACCTGATTAATGGCTTAAAGGACCCATCACAGCTTCTGATCAATCAGAGAAAATTGTAATTTTGGAATAGAAAATTACATGTCAAAACATCAGAGACTAATACCCTGGGTTCGGGTTTTTCTCAAGCAGAAGAGATTACCTCTCACAGCTTATATTTGCCCGAGACGATTCCGTACTCAGATAAGATCACATTTCTCTATTATTTACAGCACTTCGCTCAACCCGAAAGCCTTCGTTCTTGCTCTAAACGCTCACGTGAAAGCTTGCCATCTGGAGCGTGTTCATTTTGCCACAATCAAACAATGTTTTATAACATTTATATTGTTCGCTTTCAGACGAACGCTAGTTTATTGATGATGTCTGTTGAAATGGAGGGTGAGAATAGGGAAAATGTTGAATGTGCTATTAAACTGTCCTAGACAAGGTCTGCTAAATTTAAACCACACATTTTCAGCCTGCCGTTCTGCGTTTAGGGTTAAAGGGATAATTCACCCAAAAAGGAAAATCTTGTCATTATTTACTCACCCTCATGTCATTCCAAACCCGTATTCTGTTATTTTCTCATTGGAACACAAAGGGAGAATATATCTTACCTTTTCCATTCAACAAGAGTTCATAGTGGCTGTCAAGCTCCATAGAGGACCATAAAAGCACAATAAAAGGGGACTATGCGACTTGTGCACATAATTCCAAGTCTTCAAGGCCATATGATAACTTTGTGTGAGAAACAGACCAAAAAACAAACAAACTGTTGATGTACACTACCATTCAAAAGTTTGGGGCTTGTAAGTTTTTTGCTGGCAATATTTAATGACTTTGAAAGAAGTCTTTTACAATCACCAAGGCTGCATTTGCTTGATCAAAAGTAAAACATAATATTATGAAACATTATTTCAATTTTTAAAGAACTGTTTTCTATTTTAGTATATTTTAAAATGGAATTTATTCTTGTGAGGGCAAAGAACAGATATAATTTGAAATAGAAATATTCTGTAACATTATAAAAAATTCGTCGGTCACGACGTGACGTCTCCATTCCCTCCTTCAGGGAACGAGGGTTACCATACGTAACCGAGACGTTACTAATTCCTATAATTCTTACTGACCCCAAACTTTTGAACAGTAACGTACAACCTGTTTCACAAATATTGCAATTAGGGCTGTCAAATCGTTTAATTGCCATTAATTGCATCCAAGATAAGTATATATACATATACATGTAAATATTTCTTAAATATATACATGTATGTGTGTGTATTTATATATACATATAAACAGTACATACATATTATGTAAACACAAATTTTTATTTTGGATGTGATTAATCGCGATTAACCGATTTGACAGTCCTAATTGCAATGTTTGATTTGAGAGTTGTAGTGGATTGGGAGAATTATTATCAGTGAACAATGACTCAAATTTGGGGCTGTTTGTCACATTAAACTACCGCGTGGCTTCAGAAGACTTGCATGACTGCCTTTATGGTGCTTTTCTATTTCTCTTTTTCTTCTTTTTGGAGTTCTCTCTAAAGCCTCTGGTCACCATAAACTTCACAAGTTGTTAGAAAGTCTCCTTTGTGTTCCAATGTAAAAATAACAGCATACAGGTTTAGAACGACATGAGGGCGGGTAAATGATGACAGGATTTTCATTGTCAATAGACTTTCGGTCATGTGGAGTCGATAGGTCTTTTGATTATCTTTCTGCAAGTAAAGTCAGAGCAGAATATTTGTCATTCTCTCAGTCTCAATGTAAGCAGTGGGCTACCTGTCACATTGACCCCATCAGACCGCTGGCACCACACTGATCTTTCGTTGTCATTCCAGGCACTGGTCCTCCACTCGTAACTGTGACATTTCCCTCCTGCGGCCCCACAGAGTGAGAGAGACACTCATTAGGTTTGCTCTGGGCAGTCAGGTGTGATAATGGCCAAATGTAGACATTATATACTGACGCAGGCATATACCCTTTACAATAATCACATTTTGTTGCTTTGCAGCCTGAAATGAAGATGGACACAGTTTTTGTTTTATCCAGCTGTATTTACTCAGTGCAACTTATAACATCCAAGTTAAAGATATAACACCAACATGTCAGAAAAAATAAAAAAAATAAAATAAAAAGCCAGAGTTGGAAAAAGGATCACCCCCTTGTGTCAGTATTTTGTTGAACCACCTCTTGCTTAGTCTGCTGAAAGTGAAGTGACGTGTGGCCAAGTATGGTGACCCATACTCAGAATTTGTG